AGGATGCTGGCAGAGGCCTGTTGGAGGATATGGGAGGCATAGAAGATGGTGTTAAAGAACAGAGTCTAGAGGTTGACCCACTAGATTCAAGGCCCTAGACATAGTTTATCTCTTTGAAAAAATATGTATACATCCAGTTCTATTTCCCCATGTTGATTTAAGTGTCCTTTCATTTCAGCCTAAAGTATTCCCTTTAGTATTTCCTGTAGGGTGGATCTGCTGGACACAAATTATTTCAGTTTTTATTAGTTTTGTTGGTCTTACTTTCTCCTTCATTTCTTTTTTTTCTTTTCTTTTCTTTCTTTTTTTTTCCTTTCTTTTCTTTTTTTTTTTTTTTTGAGATGGAGTTTTGCTCTTGTTGCCCATGCTGGAGTGCAATGGTGCAATCTTGGCTCACTGCAACCTCTGCCTTCTAGGTTCAAGCAATTCTCCTGCCTCAGCCTCCCAAGCAGCTGGGATTACAGGCATGTAACACTGTACCCAGCTAATTTTGTGTTTTTAGTAGAGAGGGTTTCACTATGTTGGCCAGGCTGGTCTTCAAATTCTGATCTCAGATGATCCACCTGCCTCAGCCTCCCTGAGTGCTGGGATTACAGGTGTGAGCCACCGCTCTCTTTCATTTCTGAAGGATTTTCTTTATGGATATAGAATTCTTGGCTGATATTTTTTTCTGTTAGCACTTTGAATATATTATCTTACTGCTTTCTGGCCTCCATGGTTTCTGATGAGAAACTAGATGTTAATCTTACTGAGGATCATTTGTACTTAATGATTTACTTCTCTTTTGCTATTTCAAAATTCTCTCTTGGTCTTTGGCTTTTGACGGAGATTATGATGTGTATAGGTGTGGATTTCTTTGAGGTCGTCCTACTTGGAGTTTGCTGAGTTGCTTGGATGTGCATGTTAACATTCTTTGAAAAATTCGAGATATTTTCAGCCATTATTTCTTCAAATATCTTTCTGCCCTTTTCTTTCTTCCATTCTCCTTCCTGGACTACTATTATCTTCATGTTGTCTTGTTTGATTATATCCCACAGGCTTCCAGGGCTCTGTTCCTTTTTCTTTCTGCTCCTCACACTGGATAATGTCAATCTTTCTTCAAATTCACTTGTTCTTTCTTCTGGGCCTGTTCAACTTTGCTATGAAGCCTCTCTAGTGAATTTGTCATTTTAGCTATTGTACTTATCACCTCAGGAAAGTTATATTTTTAAAAAATAATTTCTTTATGATGTTCTCTACTTGTTCACACATCATTCTTATACTTTATTTCTTTAGACATAGTTTATCTCTTTGAAAAAATATGTATACATGTATGTATGTGTATTGTTTTAAATAAGGCCTTGCTGTCACCCAGGCTAGAATGCAGTGGCACAATCATAGCTCACTATAGCCTAAACCTCCTGGGCTCAAGCAATCCTCCCACCTCAGCTTCCTGAGTAGCTAGGACTACAGGCACATGCCAGCATGCCTGGTAATTTTTTATTTTTTGTAGAGATAGGGTCTTGCTATGTTGTCCAGGCTGGTCTTGAACTCCTGGCCTGAAGTGATCCTTTCACCTCAGGCCCCCAAAGTGTTGGGATTATAGCCATGAGTCACCTGTCTGGGCTGATTTATTTATTTATTTATTTATTTTTTTATTTTTTTGAGAACGGATCTTGCTCTGTCGCCCAGGCTGGAGTGCAGTGGCCGGATCTCAGCTCACGCAAGCTCCGCCTCCCGGGTTCCACGCCATTCTCCTGCCTCAGCCTCCCGAGTAGCTGGGGACTACAGGCGCCCGCCACCTCGCCCGGCTAGTTTTTTGTAGTTTTAGTAAGACGGGGGTTTTCACTGTGTTCCACCAGGATGGTCTCGATCTCCTGACCTCGTGATCCACCCGTCTCGGCCTCCCAAAGTGCTGGGATTACAGGCTTGAGCCACTGCGCCCGGCCGGGCTGATTTAAAGTCTTCGTCTAGTAAGTCCAACGTTGGAGCTTTCTTGGCAACAATTTCTATTGACTGATTTTTTTTTCTTGTGTATGGGCCAGTCTTTCTTGTTTCTTTGTTTGTGTCATAATATTTCGTTGAAAACTGGATGTTTTAAATAACATAATGTGGCAACTTTGGAAATCAGATTCTCCCCTTCCCCTGGGTTTGTTGTTGCTGCTATTAATTTGTTTAGTGATTTTTATCAACTAATTTTTAAAAGTATGTATTCTTGGTAGTATGTAACCATTGAAGACTCTGTTCCATTAGTTTAGTGGTCATCTAATGATTGGACATAGTGTTTTTAAATACTTGGAATCAATAAGTCTTTCTGCCTTTGCTGAGGTGTTCCGTATGTATTGAGCCGTGCCTTCAGTGGTCAGGCAGGCAGATTACAACTCTGCTTTAGACTTCATTTCTTGCTATTCAGAGCATTAAAGTCAGCCAAGGTGAGCATATAGGGCCTTCTAAAGATTCTCCTAGACATATTACAGACCTGCTCATGCCCATGGTCTTCTAGGTTCCCAGAAATATGCCAGAGCTTTTCAAAAGCTCCGTGGACATTCTATTCTCAGCTTTTTCTTATAAGATTTTTTTTTTTTTTTAATTTTAGGTTATTTGTTTGTCCCAAATGTTATCACTGCTTAAGGTTTTTGCAAATTTTAAAAATTGAGGCTGTTTTTGACAGATGCCTCAGGGAAAAAGTTCTTGGTGACAGAACTCTCAGTCAGGTTAAAACAAAACAAAACAAAAAGTCAAAGGCAAGCCTGCTAGAGGAGGTCTCTAGGGAACTGCCAGGCAAATCAAATAATGATCATTTTCTGGAAATGGTGTTTTTGGGGACCTCCAAACCTGTTCTTCCCCCTTTCGTGTCTTTTAGGAGCTGGTTTCCACCATGATATCAGGGTTGGTTTAATTTAAGCCTACAGCAGAGTTGGGGTAGGGAGAATGGGTATAAGGCAAGTTAAAAACACCACAAAACTTGCTCTTCTTACTAAGATTTTAGATTTCTGTGGTCATTTGCTCACAATCTGTGTAAGAACAGAGGGAACCCATGGCATGAGTCATGTAGATTTGGGATGAGAAAATAGAATATCTGATATTTTTTAAAGATTCTTATTAACCAAGAGAAATGTTTGCCAGCCAGGTTTTCTGCTGAGAACCATTTATTGAAGACAGAAATCAACGAGTTTGATCCAACCATTAGTAATTAAAGGGGATGTATTTGAAGAGGCAACCATTGTGTTTCACTTGGCCATGTGGAGATTCAGTAGGTTTTCTAATTCTTTGTGGTACGTTCAAGAGTTTTCCTGCAAGAGAAGTATCTGCTTAGAGAAATCAAATTTGAGGAAGTTAAGAGAAAAGCCACCACATTGGTAGCCACAACCATAGTCCAGCAGGGGAAATGCTAAACAATTATTCTCTGAGTTAAGGCAGGTTAGAGACATTCTAATTTCACTGGAGAAGAAAAAAGCAGAGTGGAAGTGGGTAGAAAAGAGGAAGGCAAAGGATGGGGATGTCTGGGTGAGCCTTTGGACCCCAGGAGAGCCTCTGGAAACTCCCAAGCGGGTAGAGGCAGTGGAGTTGACATGAAGCAGGATCCTGGCAGAGGCCTGTTGGAGGATATGGGAGGCATAGAAGATGGTGTTAAAGAACAGAGTCTAGAGGTTGACCCACTAGATTCAAGGCCCAGCCCTGCCAGTTCCTAGCTCTGTGGGTTTGGGCAAGTCACATGGACTCTCTAGACCTCTGCTCCTTTGAATATGAAATGTAGCTAATAGCAATGCTTTCCTCATGGCAGGGCTGTGAGGAACACAGAAGTGGAGATACAGGCAAAGCATATGATGCGGTGCAGGGCACATGGCTGGCAATCAGTGATATCACTAGTCTTCCTGTTACAGATCTCTTTTTTGTATGTGTGTGAGATCCTATCAAAAACAGTTTCTATGCTGCTTTGCTGAAGGGCTGTAGGGAGGAGCCACTATTCATTCATTCATTCACTAATTTATTCATTCCCTTTCTCCTCACACCAGAGCCAATGATTTCAATGAGTTCAGTGTGTGTCTTTTTATGTTTGTGCCAAATATATATAGTGTTTATTTTTAGTTTATATAATGCTGTCATGTTACTTGTATTATTCCGTCCCTTGCTTTTCCTCTCAGTGTGGTATTTTAAGATCTATCCATACTGCTAATGGCACATCTCATTTCTTCTGAAAGCTGCATTGAAATCTGTAAGGACTACCTTCCACAGTTTACCTATTGATTTCTTGACTAGTCTCACTCAGGCTGTCCCCATACCTGCCACCTGCCACATTGAATAACCCTGCAATAGACATACATGTCATTTCACGAAGCGATGAGGGAATCTTTTTGTGATTTCCTAGGGTTGGAAATGCTGGACCATGAGATATGAATATATTTAATTTCTTACTTTGCCTAAAAATGGCAGATTGCTTCCCAAAGTGTCTGTAACCGTCTTCACTGTCACCATAGATCATGAGAGTACAGATATCTCCAGGTCCAACCAACACTGGACGTACCCAGCCTTCTGATTTTTTCTAGTATGATAGGCAAATAGGCATCTCATTATATTTCAATTTGAATTTGCCCCTGATTATTTATAAGCTTTTGAATATCCTTTATATAATTAGTCTTTTGTCTTTATTCTTCTATAATAAAACCATAGCCTTTGCGGCTGTCGGTTTTCTTGTTGCTTATTTGCATGTACATTCTATTTTCTAGCTTATTGCAATAGCTCCTCTAGTTCTGTGAGCTGTTTACTCACTTATCCATAGTGTTTTTCATTTATCAGCGATCTTAAATTCAACTGGTTATTGATTGGGAATGAAATGAAGTTTTAGAATAGAGAAAACTAACATAGTCATAATACTTAAGTTATAATCTGGAGCATAGACTGTCTCTCCATTTATTCATATGATCTTAAATATCCTTTGGTCAAGTTTTAAAGTTTTCTCCTTTGAGTTTGCTCATACATCCAGCAGAATTTCAGAACGCCCCCACCGTTTTGTTTTGTTTTTGGAGATAGTTTCACTCTTGTTGCCCAGGCTGGAGTGCAATGGTGTGATCTCGGCTTACTGCAATCTCTGCCTCCCGGATTCAGGCGATTCTCTTGCCCGAGCCTCCTGAGTAGCTGAGATTACAGGCATGCGCCACCATGCCTGGCTAATTTTTGCATTTTTAGTAGAGACAGTTTTCATCATATTGGTCAGGGTGCTCTCGAACCCCTGACTTCAGGTGATCCACCTGCCTTGGCCTCCTAAAGTGCTGGGATTACATGCGTGAGCTACCGCGCCTGGCCCAGAACCCCCTTAATAGTGTTAATATTTGTGATTCAGCCCACGCCAGAATTGATGATTATCATATCATTGTTCTTGTCAAAGTGTCATTTAGCAAACAGACACAAAAACGGAAAGACTCAAGGAAAATAACAATGCTCATGTAGCAGTCTCTGGGGAGGTGCTTTGCCTTGGAGTGCAGCCATCTTCCAAGAAGGGATTTAGTGATAGGCTTTGTGATGGTTACTTTTATTTGTCACCTTGGCTGGGTCACAGTGCCCAGATACTTGGTTGAACATTGTTCTAGATATTTTGGTGAGGGTGTTTTTGGATGAGATTAACATTTAAATTAGTGGACTTCGGGTAAAGCAGATTGCCCTTCATAATGTGGGTAGGCCCCATCCAATCAGTTTAAGGCATTAATAGAACAAAAAGAGCTACTCCCACCCAACCTCCCACCCCGAACAACAAGTAATTCTACCAGAAGATAACCTTCAGACCTGAACCGCAAAGTCAGCTCTTCCCTGGGCCCCGAGTCTGCTGGTGCACCCTGCATATTATATTAGGGTGGATGGTTAGCAATCTCTTCTACACTTTGCAAATATTTTTTATATATATATATATATATATAGTAGCTCAGGCTCTCTGGTATTGTGTTAAACAAGTGTTCATGACTTGTGTCTAAACTCAAAGGGAAGGAATCTCAAATTTCTGTTTTGTCAGATAGGTTTGTAGCTTCAGCTTTCTTTTAGCTTATAACTGATTCTCATGCTTGGGTGCATATATTTATTTTCTGTTTTTCTGTGTCCTTTAAAAATCAAGTATGTCTTTGTAGGCAACATTTTGTTGGATCTTCTTTTTCTTTATCCAGTTATCCAGTCTGAGAATATCTGTCTTTTGATTCACTGAGTATAACCTATTCATATTTACTGTAATTACTGTTATATTAGGATTTTTTTTCATTTAGTATTTTCCTCTTTCATCTCTCTCTTGCTGACTCCCATTTAAAATTTTCTTTTCTTTCTTTTTTTTTTTTTTTTGAGATGGAGTCTCACTCTGTCACCCAGGCTGGAGTGCAGTGGTGCGATCTCGGCTCACTGCAAGCTCCGCCTCCCGGGTTCACGCCATTCTCCTGCCTCAGCCTCCCAAGTAGCTGGGACTACAGGTGCGTGCCACCACACCTGGCTAATAAGGTTTTGTATTTTTAGTAGAGATGGGGTTTCACTGTGTTAGCTAGGATGGTCTCAATCTCCTGATCTCATGATCCACCCGCCTCAGCCTCCCAAAGTGCTGGGATTACACCTGGCCTCTTTTTTTTTTGAGATGGAGTCTCACTCTGTTGCTCAGGCTGGAGTATGGTGGCACGATCTTGGCTCACTGCAACCTCTGCCTCCTTGATTCAAGCGATCCTCCTGCCTCTGCCTCCTGAGTAGCTGGGACTACAGGTGTGCACCACCATGTCTGGCTAATTTTTGTATTTTTTATTATAGATGAGGTTTTGTCATGTTGATCAGGCTGGTCTTGAACCCCTGACCTCAGGTTGTCTACAGACCTTGGCCTCCCAAAGTGCTGGAATTACAGGTGTGAGCCACCACACCCAGCCATTAATTATATTCTTAAGAATATAACTTTTTATTATGTTTGAACATTTGAAAGATAATTTGGGGTTGGGTATGGTGGCTCATGCCTGTAATCCCAGCACTGTGGGAGGCCTAGATGGGAAGACTGCTTGAGTCCAGGAGTTCGAGACCTACCTGGGAAAAATAGTGAGATGCCATCTCTACAAAAAATACAAAAATTAGCCCAGTGCAGTGTTGTGTGCTCGTAGTCCCAGGTACGTGGGAGGATCGGTTGAGCACAGGAGGTTGAGCCTACATGGGCTGTGATTGCACCGCTGCACTTCAGCCTGCATGACAGAGTGAGGCAAGGCAAGGCAAGGAGTAAGGAAAGGGGTAAGGGGAAAGGAGGAAGGGGAAATGGGGAAGGGGAAAGGGACAAAGAAAGGCAAGGAGCAAGGCAAGGCAAGAAGCAGGGAAAAGCAAGGTGAGGGGTGGGACAAGTGGTAAGGCAAGGAATGAGGGGCAAGTGCCAAGGCATGGGACAGGGCAAGGAAAGATATAAGGCAGGGTATGGGGCAAGGCCAGGGGCAGGGCAAGGGCCAGGTTATGGGGCAGGTCAAGGGGGCAGGGCAAGGGGCAGGGCAGGGGACAGGGCAAGGGGCAAGTCATGGGGCAGGGCAAGAGGTATGAGGCAGGGCAAGGGACAAGGCATGTGGCTGGGCAAGGCTAGATGTGAGGGACAGAACCAGGGGAAAGGCCAGGGCAAGGTGCAAAGCCTGGGGCAGGACAAGGCAAAGACAAAAAGACAAGGGTGAAGGTAAAGGCAAGGCAAGGCAAGAGGAAAGGAAAAAATAAAGGAAAGGAAAGTGAAGAAAAATGAAAGGAAGGGAGAAGAAAAGAAAGAGAAACAGAAGGAAGGAAAGAAAGAAGGAAGGCGAGAAAGAAAGAAGGAAAGAAGGAGAACTTGGCTGGATATAACATTCTGTGATATATATTGCTATGGTTTGAATGTGTCCCCCAAAGTTCATGTCTTGGAAAAATAATCCCCAAAAAACAGTGTTGAGAGGTGGAACCTTTAATTACTTATTATGTCTTGAGGGCTCTGCCCTCATGAATGGATTGATGCCATTATCACAGGAATGGGTTAGTTATTGTGGGAGCAGGTTTCTGATAAAATGATGAGTTTGGATCCCTTCTACTCTCTCTCTCACACACACATGTGCATGTGTGCACGAGTACATGCTTTCTGACCCTTCCGCCTTTTGCCATGGGACAACACAGCAGGAAGTCCCTCACAAGATGCTGGCATCTTGATAGTGGACTTCCCAGCCTCCAGCACCACAAGCAATAAGTTTCTATTGTTTATAAATTACCCAGTTTGAGGTGTTCTGTTATAGCAGCACAAAACAGATTAAGATATATATTTTTTCCCTTTTAACTTCTAAGGATTATA